AAAAAAGCTGGAAGTGGCGCTGTGGCTCAAGTGGTAGAGCTCTAGCCTTGAGCTGAAGAGCTGAGGGACAGCGCCCAGGCCCAGAGTTCAGGCCCCATAACTGGACCAAAAAAAAAAAAAAGTTCTAGAATGGATGGTGAATAATTGACAGATGACTTTCTCTCTGTCTTCCAAATTATATGTTCTAATATAGCTTCTTAGCAGTGACCAAAAGCTAGAGATGCCAAACCCTTTGTTTCATAGGTTCTATCTCTTATTCCCAGGTGTTCCAGGGTGTTCTGGAACGAAATACAAAACGTGAACTAGCTTTGACTGCAAAAGCAGGTGCCAAACTGGATATCTTGCTGGAGAACATGGGAAGGCTGAGTTTTGGGTCTAACCATAGTGACTTCAAGGTGAGATGATTTTACATAGTTCTTCCCCAGTACTCTCATTGGCCAACTCCCTTGGAAAGATGGGGGCTTAATGGAAGATAAACTAGAGTCATGTCCATAAGAGTTAGATAGTGTAGTGGTTGTGGGGACTTGTGGACAATGGCCAGTTACATTCCAGAACTTTAGGGATGGTGAGTTTAGCGAATGATGACTTTTTATTTGCTCCCTGCAGGGCCTGTTAGAGCCACCGATTCTGGGGCAAACAATCCTTACTGACTGGATGATATACCCTCTGAAAATTGATAAGCTTGTGAAGTGGTGGTTTCCCCTCAACTTGCTGAAAAGACCACAGCCTGACATTCCCTCTGGCCCTACCTTCTATTCTACAACATTTCCAATTTTAGGCTCGTCTGGGGACACATTTCTATATTTACCTGGATGGACCAAGGTATTGCTAATTAATGGTAGTAGTTGGGAGTGTAGGGGGGAAAAAGTTAAATCACAAAAGGAGGGAGGACAGAAATTATTCCTATGATTTGAACCCTGAAACGGGATGATTTTACTCTGCATTGAGCTAATCCTTTCTTTTTCCCATTCCCTCCCCTTCCCAGGGCCAAGTCTGGATCAATGGGTTTAACTTGGGCCGGTACTGGACAAAGCGGGGGCCACAACAAACACTATATGTGCCAAGACTTCTCCTGTTGCCTAAGGGAGCTATCAACAAAATCACATTGCTGGAGCTAGAAAATGTGCCTTCCAAACCTCAAGTTCAATTTTTGGATAATCCTATCCTCAACGGCACCTCGGATAGGCCACATTTCGATTCCTTCTCAGACCCACAAAGTACATATGAACCAATTCAATTAAGTGGGCACTGAAAAATAGTAAACCTTGAACCTAGGACATGGAGTGGACAGGATCCGTTGGTGTTGGTCATGGCAATCACAAGAAACCAAAGGTCAGAATGACTCTGAATATAAGTACAAGTTCAGTTTGCTTGCCAAACTTTATTGTGATTAAAGTTCCAGACTCAGTACCAGCTCCACACACTTCTGTGGCCCTGTCTTTGCCCTAGTTCCTGAGTGTCTCTCATCCTATTCTTCAAAAATAGTCTCTCTCTTCATGGGGAAAAAAACCTAGGGCTTGTGTAAGCATGCCATTTTGGGGTTCCACAGTTGGCTCCAGGTGGAACTGTAAGAGTTCAGGAAGAAGGCTTCCCTGCCCGATTTCGATGATCCCGGAGGCAGCGTGTAGAACAAAAAGAGAAGTCGAGGTAGTGAAAAGGAACGAGGCCTTGGAGCGATGCCCCACAACTCCAGCAGCGTCTGAACAAGAGGAAGAAAGTTGACTGGACAGGTACCCCAGAAACTTGTCAATGTAAGCTCTCCCCAGCCCATAAAGGTTCCAGAGTATCTTAAATCCCTTTAATAACCTTTTAAAGTACTATGTAGGCATTCACTCCACTTGACCCAAATGATCCTTACAATATTATCATCCACTCTTTCATTCATCTGCTGACCCCATACCCAGCACTGATGACTGCAGAGTCAGGGATCGGAGGGCTAGGGGCTCCCAACTGGGCAGCAAGTCGGCGTTCCGCAGCCAGAGCTCTCTAAGAAATAGAAGTTGTATTAAGGACCAGGCCCAGTCCCCGGTGTGCTTAAGAAGCAACAGCTACGTTCTTGGGAAGGGATGAAAGCTCTAAAGAAGCCATACCTTACAGCCTGGAGTCTTACCTTCTCTCGGTCACTGAGGCTGGCAAATCGCCGCTGCTCTTCTTGTTCCCGCTCCTCCTGCTCTTGCTGCTTTCGCTGTTGTTCCTCTCGCTGTCTCCGGGCTGCCTTCTGCTTTCTTTTCCGTGTAGCCTGCTGTGCCTCCATTTCTGGGGTCAATGGCCCTGGCACCTAGACTTGCAAAAAAAAAAAAAAAAGTAAAGATTCCTATAAGCTATCTTTTGCAAAACTGCAGGGAAATAGAAAGGAGCTACTGAGGAGCTATGATGCCTTCCCACTCCGTATTTGTTTTTCCTTTTCCAGCTTACCTGAGCCTTGTTGTAGTCATAGGCATCTGGATTCTTCTCCATGAACCTTCGGAATTCATTACGTGTTGATCTATCAGCTGCCACAGTATATGGTGGCTGGGCCTGGGAGTCTCTAAGTGCAAAACCCCCCAAATGGGTTCAGCTTTCTCCTTGCCTTTCCCAATATCAACTCAACCAAACCAAGGAATAATGGACAACACCCAAATGAGTCATCACATGGCTATATCCTCTATACCCAAACTGGCTCTGGATAGAGACATACCGCACAGTGGGGTCAGCACCTGCCTCCAACAGCAGACGAACTACTGAGCCTCTTCCAGCTGCCGCTGCTGCATGAAGAAGAGTAAAGCCACCAGAGCCCAAGGGAGCACTAAGTAGGGACATGACTCCAGTGTCTTCAGGCCCAGCAGCTAACTGGACTTTCAGCACTCCAATGTCTCCAGCTCGGCAAGCAGCTAGAAGCACATCCCAGAGCTCTGGCTGGCCAGGGGCTTTGGCCTCATCAACCAAGGGGGCTGCAACCACTTGGAATGACTGTGAGGAAGGTTCATCTTCTTCAAGTTGCTCAAGTGCCCCAGCTTCCTGGTCTTGACTTCTCTTCTTCTTAGTCTTTTTTCTCCTTCGCTTGGGCAATAATTCATACTCACGAAGACTCAAGGTCTCTAGTGTTAATTCTACTAACTCCAGCTCTACTGGGGAGCCATCTTCCTCTGATGCTGAATCTAGGGAAAAATGTCATATTAGGACCCATTTAAGGAATAAGCAGAGGGTGGAAGGATGTGGGCTTCCCCAGAAGCATTCATGTATATAAAGAGATAATCCAGATCATCTTGAAATGAAATTGTGTTTATTTTATCCTTGGACTCTCCCTATGAACAGCTTTAAGATGGAACACAGTAATGAAAAGCAACCTTTAGCTCTAAACCACAGCATCTAATCAGATGTTTACAATCTGAGAATCATGCAACATATTCAAACATCTACTCAAAGGATAAGACTTTCCTATGTGTCACGGATACATCCATGGACGAACAAATAGAACTGGAAATGTCACTAAACATGTCTCAGTTGTTGGATGTGTTGGCACACATCCTAGTACTGGAGTTGGATATGGGAGTTGGGAAGACTAAGGTCAGTCTAGATTATACAGTAAGACCCTATCACTGTATTTTCAGGACAAACCCTTTTGGGTGATTCTTCATTTTGCTCAAGTTCCTTACTTTCATCACTGGGAACATTGTCTCTTTCATCCTCAGTAGCCTTCCTCTTCTCTTTCACAGTCTTCCAGTGTGTCTGAGATGAGCGCAATCTGACTATCTCTCGAGGGTCTTCTCCTGCCATAAAACAAAAGGTCTTTCTCAAACTTAGCTGAGGAGAATCTAACACAGGTTTTTCTCAATGAAAATGTAATTGGCCTGCCATCCAAAGGTTAGAAAACTTCTGGTTACACACTTGAGAGCCAGAAGGCCTAGAAGTACAGGAATCTGGATCAGAGACTCACCATAGATATGCAGAGTAGTCAGCTTGTTGAGCACACGCTGGAGCTCTCGGAAGGTGGGTCTGCGGGTAGTGAGAGGGATGTCCCAAAGTCGGGGATCCTCCCTTTGAAGAGGTGCTCCATGGCCTCCAAAGAACAAGGACCGGCCAGAGCGGGGAGCCCGAAGCAGAATTGTTCCAGCCTCCCGCAGGGCCTTAGCCCAGTCTGGCTCTGCCAACAGGTCACGAACATCCTAGGAAAGAAGGTAACTCCATTTGGTATATCTTTACTTGCTACTCTTAAAATACACAAGCCAGGTGTTGGTGGTTCATGACTGTAATTATGGCTATTCAGAAGACTGAGATCTGAGGATTGCTTGTTCAAAGCTAGCCCTCCTAAAAGGGTTTTAGCAGACAAATCTAAAAAGCTTTTTATCTCCAATTAACTAGTAAAAAGCTCGAATGGGAGGTGAGGCTCAAGTGGTAGAGTACCAGCCTATAGTGAAAAAGCTATGGGAAGGCATGTAACTCCGAATTCAAGCTCCAGTACTGGCACAAAAGAAAATTAAAAATATCCCAACAAGAGTGGGAGAAAAAGGATGAAAAAGGAGAAAGAGATCCCTATTCTACTTATACTACCCATGTTTACTTCATTATTACTATGTCTAATGAATATTAGAAAGGTAAACAAGTCCAAACTACCCTACTGTTAACAATGAGTTGACAATGAGAGGCAAAAAAGTTCTTAGAGAGACTAAGATCTGGGAGGCAGTATAACTTACCTTACATAATGTGGCTTCATTGTAACGCCTCAAGCTGGCTCCAGCAGAACGTGATGTCCTGCCTCGAGCATCCTGGAGCCCCTGGGCTGTGCCCCGCTTGGCCCGCACAGTATAGCGGTGAAAGGTTTTGTGTGTCACCACTTCTCTTCTGTAGACAGCAAAGACTCAGTACTGGACACAACCTGGTGCTCCCAGGCTAATGGAATCCATTCCATCCTTATCCCACACAGTGCCCTCTCACCCTTGAAAAACAGCACCAGCAAAGTGTCCAGCTGCAGCCATCAGCACTACGCAATATTTGGGACCTCCACTTTTCAGGTTCTGTAGTAGCAGTTCTGCCTCTTCTGGGGAAACCTACAACACAGATGCAGCAGAACATTCTAGCTGTTACATTTGACAAAAGCAAGAAACCAAGCGCCAGTGTTGTGTTTCACATATATTTTCTCATTTATTACAGCCACCCTGAGCCTTGTTTTCATTTTACAAAGAGGGAAATTTGAAGCTTGGAGAGATAGTTGTAGAAGATCAAGCGGTAGAAACCACTTCAAACCAAGACTGGTTTGTCCCCCAAACTTGACCCCATCAAACCTGACCCTTTCAAGATTTAAGACAGTTTCTGGCCAAGACTGGCTGTCAAGTGTGAGATCCACACTGAGAAGGAAGAAATGAGACATGGACTGGCTAAGGAGCAATCTTAGGCTGAATACACAAAAAGGATTGATCAACTAGCCTGTGCTGTCACTTGCCTGATGAGGACCTAGGACACATCGATAGGCATAAAGAAACTGGCCCTGGGCATTTTGGAAAAGAACTCTACAGGGGTAGAAGCCCCTGGGTTGATTAGGCTTTTCAAGTTCAGTCTTCTCGCCCAATGTCTTCAAGTCCTCTTCACTGGCTGAGTCTGAGTCTTCTGATCCTGAGATGCTAGAAAGATCTCCTGAAGACAGACAACATAGGACATACAAGTTTAGTACCTTTTCACTTCCCTCACACCCCTTAAGGCCTGCTCCCAGACAGGCCCTCCCATCAGGCATCACCTGTGGAGCTCTGCTTTTCAAAGTCCAAAGCAGACAGGAGAGACTTGTTCTTCAGACGCTGCTTTATGTTAAAGCGATGCCAGTCAAGTTTATAATGTTCTCTCTGGTACAGAAAAACAGAGAAAGCAGAAAGGCAGAAATATGTCCCAGCCTGGCCTTGTATACTAGCCAAGACAAGTTGTAGAACTTCAAGAAATATGACAGAGTAACACCAGTTGAATTAGTCAAAACAAGTCCTTTATGAATTTAAGGCAAATCACTCTTCTCACACACCATTAAATTTATTATTGTTAATTTGGGGGAGGTGGTCCTGTGGCTTGAACTCAGGGCCTGGGCACTGTCCCTGGGTTTCTTTGGCTTAAGGCTAGCAGTCTACCACTTGAGCCACAGTACCACATCTGGCTTTTTCTTTGTAGTTTGTTGAAGATAAGCATCTCAACAAACTTTTCTACCTGGGCTGGCTTCAATCCACAATCCTAAAATCTCAGCCTTGAATAAGCTAGGATTATGGGAGTGAGCCACCAGCACCTGGCACTGTTATATTTTTCCTTCTAATGTCTAGCCCTACATACTCACTTTTTTTTTTTTTTGGTTGGTCATGGGGCTTGAACTCTGGCCTGAGCGTTGTCCCTCAGCTCTTCAGCTCCAGGCTAGCCCTCTACCACTTGAGCTACAGCACCACTTCCAGTGTACTTGTGGT